AGTTTTAATAAATTATCTTTTTGAAGTAAAATTTAAATGTGAACATTTGTCTCTAAATTAGCAATCACTCTATGGGCTATGTTCCTTTTTTATTTCCCCCTCTGTCTTCACATGCCCCTCTTTGCTACTCGTCTACATGATCAAGTAGTCACGACATCGTGACTTATCATCTTTCTCCCATTAATTCAGCCATCATTCCACTCTGTTCCATTAGTATTTCCTGCTGTGAAAATCCCTGTAGAATCCATTGTAAACTCTCAGAAGTTTCCATATTCTGCTTTGGAAAGCAGTGACCCACAATGTTATTAAAAATCGGTGACTTACAAAGGGATTTTTTCCTTACTCCGAAGCAAAGGGGAAGTCTAGACATCGTCCTTAGAGTGACATTCATGCACAGCTTCCAACTGACAGTCGTCTTTTCTGAACTCAAATGCACTACTCCAGCTATCAAATTTTACATGGAGTCTTTTAGGGACTTCTTTAAAAATCAAAATTCCTGGCTCTGCAGTTCATTAAGTGTACCATTCCAAGAGATGCAACTGCCAGAACTGGTTAGTTGCTATGAGGGCAGTTATATTCTAATGCTGCAAAGCAAGCATTTTAAGGCTTTAGTCACATATGTGGTACACACTTCAAAACTCCACACTTTCAAAGGACTTACTGGAGCCAACATTCCAACTTAGTACTCACCCAGTTAAACGGAAGCTAATAAGAAGCATGAAACAGTATATACTATATAGGAATTTTGGCAGAACACCACATGTATTGACCCTACATTAAAAAAATCATAATAGCATTAAATCATCCTAACCCTATAACACCCATTTATAAGAATACTCTCACTCTTTCCTCAAAAACCACATGTCATTCTGATTCATTTATAGTGCTAAAAATATAAATTTGACAGAATGTATCTGAACCTGACCCAGACATTTAAATATTTTCATAACACCAGAAGCAAAAGGAAAACAGGCAAAAATCTCTTGACTGTGTAACACAGTCTGCTTTGAACAAATGGCCTAGATGTAAGCAGTAGGTGGCAAAGTTAAAATAGAAATGTTAATCCTATGAGAGCCCCTGCCTGCTGTTTTACAGCCCTTCGTAAAGATTAAAAAAAAAAAAAAAAAAGGAGCAAAGAACATAAAAATGCCCGCAGCCCTAATACTACAGAATAAAACAAAGCACTGATTTTAAAATAATTTTTTTTTAACCTGTGATTTTTTTTTATAGGGAAGTAGTAGCAGGAATCAATGGCAAAATAAATAAGCTTAGTTTCCAGTTTTAATGGGTTTTAATAAAATGGCAATGTTTTTTCTTCTTTTTTTACTCAAGATGGAAGAAATATTGATTTGGGGCAACATTATGAATTCCTGCCTTAT